TAGTTGAAAATACTTTAATTTACTTCTCGTAATCGAGTAGTCTTTATGTTATACTAAATGGACTTAGGCAACTTTCAGAATAAACGACTCAATTAACTTTCATTTATATTCACATAAATAAAATCCGTTTAAATGTCAGCCAAATGTTGCATGTGAACTGACCAGTCTAAAGACCAGGAATTCATAAACGCTTTTTCTAATATCGATCCGGCGATGAAATACGAAGCAGGAAAATATGCAGCGCAGTGGAATCATACGAATTCGGATTCGCACATGCTCGAACGTGGATTTTAACTCGTATACGTCCGAGAATGCAAGACGAACGCGGCGGGTTGGGCCGTTCAAGAGCGTATTATCAGTTCGTTCCGCGCTCATAGGAAACCGCAATTTCCACGGATTACACGGACGAAAACTGACTCCCGCGACTGTACCAGCCGGTCGAGCGAGCAAGGTCTGCCGGAATTCATGGGTCGCAGGTTATGCCGCATTCGGTGGTATGTAGTAATTAGCAACATTGCTTCCAGAGCTTCCGAACATGGAAGGTGGAGGTGGACCCAGGCGAGAGCGGATTTCATTCGAAGGAATAGAACGCGCCGCGACCGCGATGCTATCTTGCAAATTGTTCCTGCCGCCAATTGTCCCACCGCAGATCGACTAACGCATTGCCTTCGATTAAATTCTTCATCTAGCAATATATTTTCGATACTGTCATTGTTGAACAATGAATTCCAGCAATGATCTCATTTCAGCCCTCTACATCATCATTTGGATGATTAAAGAAATTGAAAATCGTGCCACGAACTGGAATACTTTAAAAATTATATAAAACATAATCTGAAATTAATTTATTCGCGGAATTTTTGTTCATTAGCATCGCAACTGAATTAGTATATTTGGTAATATCACAAAACCGAGACAATTAAATAGTCGGGGATGCTCTTAATAACAGATTTAATAAAGTCTGAGACACCTGTAGCTGAATTATCGTTGAAGTTTGCTGTTTCCTAGGAGCGACAAAAACCGAACTAGCGACAGCAAGAAGGTAAAATAATATCTGACTTCCACGCCTCCGCCTTTTTTGGTATCAATTTCTATCCGCTAGACTGAACTTGGACGAAACTGCGGGAACAACTGACGCTAATGCAACTTCGTAGGTCGTTACGGAACAGTTTAAGATGCAGATTCACGTGTAACAGTTGTAAGAAGGAATGTGCAGGATTGAAGAACTAGGGAGACAAACATTAGCCCTGTGCGCGAACATCTACAAAGGAAGTTCTGGTAAATGTTCAAAGTTCAATGAAACAATCACGCATACATACATTTACTTTCTTACCTCATTTAATTGAAAGATTCTTCACTCTCTATAAATAAA